ACAAAATGCTCATTATTGTTAATAATAAACCAAATAAAACATAAATGATCGAGACAAATAACAATTGAAGTGTCATTTTCCAGTGTTTTCGCCATGTTAATGATAGACCAACTCGATGTTTTTGCCGATAGACACGTATTAATAAACCAATACTGAATCCAACAATGATAATATTCGGTAATATTTGATGAAATATTGTTTCGTATTTGTAAAATGATGAAAAAGATGCATACAAACAAAGCTCGATACAAATCATACTATAAGTATCGAAAATATTTTCACAAGGTGGAAAAAATATGACAACAATGTAATATATGAGAGAGTAGAGAACTAATATAATAAGAGGAAAATAATGTATTAATAAACGTTTCTTTTTTGTTGAAACCCACTTATCATGAAAGATAAGTATATGTCTTTCAATTGTAGCCCATGCAAAAAGTATCGTTTGCGTAAAATACAGTCCCCAGTCAATGAATATTATAACAGTACAGAATAAATGTGTCCTTCTCCATGTACCCTTGTTGTAATAAAAATGAAGCATCCATGGATAAATTGTTATTTCATAAATTAAACAAATAAAAAGAAAAATTATTATTGCATGATTATGAAGAGCATGACGTAGATTTCGCTTCCATAAAAGATGGCAGAGGATAAATACGGAACAGATAATTGATGGAATGAGAAAAGTAAGATAGAGCCAGAATTTGACAGCACTTGGTATTGATTCATTGTAATGAATTAATGAATTATTACTGTAGTTAACAGTGTCATTATGATATGACATAGTGCTGAAGAAAAATATATTTAAATGAATGTGAATTCAGAAAAGAAATTGAAAATCCTGATATAAATATACTGCTTTTCAGTTATAATAATTAATCCAAAAAATTATAAATATGATAATTGACGAAACTAAATATCTGTACGAAAGCACATGAGTAGAATTTCTACTGTTTCTTTCATGGTCAAGATATGATGCCTATATTTTTGAATACTGATGATACGGGCTTTGAGATTGAGTTTCCTAGAGAAAAACAATTATCTGAACTAATGTTCCAAATGTTCACTTAGCTAAAGCATGTTGAAGTAGCTTTCGAAGATATTTCAATGTCGGAAACGATGTTTTGAAATATATTCACTCTCTAATTTCTCACTATTCTATCTCGAATGTTTCAGTAGAAGGCAAGAATATAATAAAATGTCTTTAATTTTCTAACTGATAAGAGGTACGCTAATGCATAACCAAATATGATACACCATGAACGGGAAAAAGTATATTGGCAACTCTTAGCTTTTATTATAAAGCAATGGCAGCTGTTGTAAGATAAATGTAAATGATAAATACTCAATAAAATACCTTTTTTTCTACATTTTATTTTAGTATTGTTCGATTCTTCTCTTTCTTCCTACATCTCCTAGAAAGAAATGTGATTATAAAATATTGATTTCATCTGCAAAAACTAAGTAAAAATATAAATAAACCATAGTCATGTTATTGTGAGAATTACATTTAATACAGCAACTTTTTGAGCTATGACATGACTCTACTACAGAGTATAGAGCGTGAAAAAGGTTCTTTTCCCATTCTGCATGGAGTTCTCATCGAGTGAAGCTCTCTTAATGTAAAAAAAGACCATGCCTTTATAAAGTAATGATTGTTCTCAGTATGATTGCTTACATAGTTATGTGTACTGGCACTGTGATAAAGTCTGTAGATATGTTGTTCATTGTTTCTAGGTGGACATACAGTATGTTATAGAACTCTAAGAAAAATGTTAACAGACAAAACACTTTCACTTTTCTCTACCGTTCGTATTTGATTCACAGATACAAAACTACAGTGAATGCTGCATATTAAGGAATATTCACAAAATCTAACTGATTTTCGACGATTTCTTTTCTTTTTCGAAATTTACTAGGCAAAATGAATTTTTGCTTTTTCTTAAAAATCATTGATGATTTGTTAAGTATTTAACCGACACTTTTCATCAGCTGGCAGCATGTAACCAGCATTGCTTTCCATAGTGTAGGAATTATTTATTGTATGCTCGCCAATAGAAAACAAAATATTTTACTGAAAGTTCGCATGCAATAATAATTGAATGATAAGAAAACATTGAAACTCAATTTCATCAAATTCTCGTTTTCTTTGAACAATTAAAGCAATTGCTATTGGAAAAAGACACAAGATTTCACTTTGAAAATAGTCGTTCAACAAATCTATCGAAACTCTTGAGTGGGCATTTTCACAATGTGTTAACCTTATTGTGTGGGAATTCGATTGAAATATACAATCAAGGCAGAATGTTGGTTTTTTAGGGTACTCTGTTCTGCACCGTCCGATTCAATGGAGTGGAACAAGGCAGACCATTTTTTTTCGATGCAGTTTCAACAACAGGCCAGAGTATAAAAATATCAGCATGTGAACATGTATAATTTCCACTAACGAATACTTCTATTTTATTCTTGTATTAAAGCTCTCTTCCTAAAAAAGAAATATTTGCACGCATTATAAATTTGACTCCTAATAATCAATATTATACATTTTGTGCATTAAGATATTATTGTTACATGTATTTTTAGGAGAAAAATACTCAAAAAGAAATACATAGACACTAGAAAAGAGTTTCGTCAACCTTTTAGACAAATATGCAACGGTTAATTCTGATAAAAAGTACTGTTTTTCAACATCAATGCGTTTATGTTTTTGAATAAACGAATTATCGAAGCAGTTTTTAAAATCGTCTATTGTGAGACTGCCAATGAGTTATCCTAATACATTTAATATTATGTTTTTGCCGTTAAACAGACGTAAATTATGAGAAAAGATGAATTTGAGTATGATTCCGCATCATTTTCAGCCAACACTTCGTTGGTAATCCAAGCTCTATGTGTTCTCGAATTGTCGTCATGGAAAATAGGACCTTGAAGGTAAGCCTTTTGTCCCCTTTCTGATATAGTTTTGAAGACGTGTGATAAGCAGTTGTTGCTGTATCGACTTGCATTTATTGCCTCACTAGATTCATATGTTTTCTGTACTTTTGTTTTGATGAACTTTGGTTGAGCACGAATCGTTTTCTGACAACTAAACTGTTCACTGATCTTTGGTTTCTAGATGAGAATGAAACGACAAAAATTAAATATGTAATTGTTTTTGATTACTGCTCAGTTGATGAAGCATTCATCAAGCTCAAACTTTGCATAACTTGAAATCGTCATGAATTATTCATTGAGGATCATTTTCAATAATTGTTCAAGCAAAGTCAATTGTTTCTTTAGAAGGCGATCTGAACGAACACTATCTTCAATACTGAAATAGTCGCATTGAAACAGATGAAATCAATTGAGAACTGCAAAATGCGAAGATTCTTGACTGCCCTCATGCCTGCAATAAACAGGTATGACTGTCATTGTATGTCAAACCGATTTTCCAGTCATATAAAATCATTTCTCGAAACTGTTCTCGTGACACTTCAAAATTCATATCGGATATGATGGATGACTAATCTGAAACGAATGAAGAATTACAACGATGCTCCAGACATAAAACTCTGAAATTTTTCACACAATCCTAAATGTGTGTAAGCATTATAGTGCAACATTAACACTCAAATTGAAAGATTTAAATGAACTAGACGAAAAACCTTTTCTAGTGCCCTACGTAAAAAAGCGTGGCTATCTGACTGACTTTGTTTGAATATTGGAAATATTTGTTTATTAATAGATATACAGTAGCTATGTCAGTTATTCAACAAAGTTAATTTTCGACTACTTTTTAGCGCAACCTTAAATCATAACAGGGATGTAAACAGTATTTCGAACAGAAAAATTTATTTAGAATAAGAATATACGAAACCGGAAATTACCAGCTAATTGCCAAAGACAAGGTCTTCAGTCAAGTGTCAACGTACTTTTTCAACGAATAAATAGAACTAGGGTAGTAAAATATGAAACGTAATGCAGCTACCACCGTGAATTACAGGATATTGTTTTATTCTATAAATCGTAGAATACATTTTCTCACTCTCTTTTTATTTAATCCTTGAAAAATGCAATAAGGCAGTAGTTAATATATTGTAACGACCAATTATTGATATACGACCCGTGATCGTATATCAACAACGCATGTCATCATTTGTAAAGATATTTGAGGAAACATGTTTGGTGGGAGTGTGTACTAATTTCTATTCTATACACATCAACACTCTTTCTAGGTCATGTTGCATAAAACGATTTGGAATCATGTGATAAATTTATCGGAAAAAGACACATTTATTCATCGAACTGATACTGCCTGTTGTCTGATTTTCAGTAAAACGTTCTGTCTCTTTCTGAAAAGCTCGATAAAAAGCCAAAGAATTTTGTTGCTTTTTGCATATCTTAAAAGTTAAAATGAACACGGCATACAAAGTAGGCACTAGTCTCATCGAAAATCTGATTTTATTCATCACAGCTCTATAAACAGTTGTTGATAGATAATGGATCAAACGTATAATTAAATAATAAATCGACAACGGCCCATGAAGCCATGCTAATAAACTTTGCTATAGTTCTCGTAGTAATGAGTTTTGTCATATCTGCCGTTAAATAATTTTTGCACTTTTCATCAGAGAATAGGTCAAAACGTGAATAGTTGGAGTCTCAGAAAAAAAATGACAATAACGAAGCTGGGTGCCTTGAGTTTTAAATATCTTGTGCAGAGCAGCATCGTGTGACTAATTGTAAAAGCGATTATTCGTTTTTTATAATATATCCATTTCTTTTCACCAATCAAGGTGCGAGTCTTTGTAGTGCATTTCACAGGGGAGTGAAACTCGAATGCAACCTTTGTTTTAATTGTGAACGATTTATACTTAATAACTATATGAGAAAATTCATTCTGTATTTATTTACAAATCATTTGACCTAAAGTGTATGATAATAGTGCGATGTAATATTAACTACGAAACAATACTAATTATTAAAGCAAATGTTTGATTAAATATTGTATTTCTTTTTGTCTATCTTATCGGTACAACAGCTCTTGTTCGACCTCGTAATCGTAACATGTTCTTCCTTTCGTCTTTCAACTGAGGTAAAAATAAAGTAGCAACAATAGGAAAAAGAAGCATTGTACAATAATACAAAAATGATGCATACTGTGTAAATTTAGCGGTAACATAAAGTGGTACACCGAGAAGATAGAAAACGCTCATTAATGTTAATGGTAAACTAAATATAAGATAATTGACTGAGACAAATAACAATTGAACTGTCATTTTCCAATGTTTTCGCCATGTTAATGATTGACCAACTCGATGTGTTTGCCGATAGACACGTATTAATAAACCAATACTGAATCCAACAATGATAATATTCGGTAATATTTGATGAAATATTGTTTCGTATTTGTAAAATGATGAAAAAGGTGCATACAAACAAAGCTCGATACAAATCATACTATAAGTATCGAGAATATTTTCACAAGGTGGAAAAAATATGACAACAATGTAATATATGAGAGAGTAGAGAACTAATATAATAAGAGGAAAATAATGTATTAATAAACGTTTCTTTTTTGTTGAACACCACTTATCATGAAAGATAAGTATATGTCTTTCAATTGTAGCCCATGCAAAAAGTATCGTTTGAGTAAAATACAGTCCCCAATCCATAAATATCCAGATAGCGCAAAAGAAAGATGTCCTTTTCCATGTACTCTCGTTGTAATAAAAATGAAGCATCCATGGATAAATAGTTACTTCATAAATTAAAGAAATAAAGAGAAAAATAATAATCGCATGATTATGAAGAGCAAGACGTAAATTTCACTTCCACAAAAGATGGCAGAGGATAAATACGGAACAGATAATTGATGAAATGAGAAAAATAAGATAGAGCCAAAATTTAGCTGGTTTTGGTATTGGTTCATAGTATTTAATTAATGAAATGTAGCTGTAGTGAAAAGTGTCAAAATCATTGGACATTTCACAATAGTAAAAAATGTTTGAATAACTAAGAATTTAGATAAAACAATGAAAAATTATAATATAAATATGACTCTTTTCAATTATGATTATTAAATTAAAGTGATAATTGATTCAATGATGTGTACTTATCTAAAATATGCAATCTTTAAAATTAAAAATAGCTTCTTTTCTTTTCATATGTAGGATGATCTTTGTAATAGTTTATACCAAAGAATATTAGTAGAATATCTGCCGCTTTTCCATGATCAAGAAATGATACCTACATTTGTTTCAATAGTGATGAGGCAGAACTTGAAACTGACTCCCCTGGATGCACAACAAATTGTCTGAACTACTGTTCCAAATATTTACGCAGCTAAAACATGTTGAAGTAACACTTTCAAAGATATTTTGATTTCAGAAGCGATGTTTTGAGATGCATTTACTCTCTAATTTCTCTTTATTTTATCTAGAATATTTCAGTTCGAGGAAAAGTGTAATAAAATGTCTTTTAATGCATTCACTGACAAAAGACAGACTAATGGGGAAGTATATATAAGTCAGGATGAAAGAGAAAAAACTCTGGAAATTCTTAGTTTTTTATGACACAGTAACAGCAGATGTGTAAGGAGAGGTGTAAATAACAGATATTGAAGGAAACATCGTTACATATTTTATATTTAGAATTATCAATTGTTTCTCATTCTTCTCAGATCCATTAGTGGGGAAATTGCTTATAAAAAAACTGCTCCTGTCAGTGAAAAATAGGACGAGAAATCGGTGCAAAATATAATTTTAATAAACGCATGTTTTTAGAAGTACCACGTATACGCCAACAATCTTTTCAGCTGTGCGATAATTCTACTGGAATATACAGAGAGTAAAACAATGCTTTTTGCAAATGCTGTCCAAATTACTCACGGAATGAAGTTTCCTTAAAAGAAGGGCATGACTTCATGTAGTACTGGTCGTCCTCACTATAATTGCTTACAGGTTATGTGTATTTGCGCTGTGTTAAACTCTATAGTTGAGTTATTCATAGTTTCCAGATGGAAATAAATCCCATTATAATATTATAAGAAAAACTTCAAAAGAAGAGTCATTCTTACTTTTCTCTGTCGTTTATAATTGCTTCGTACACTAAAGAAAAAAGTAGCTAAGATAATTAAATAATTATTTCAACATTAATTCATGTTTGAGTAAGTCTTTTGTTGCGATCATGCCAAGCACAAGGAATTTTTTTTTCTTGTTGAGAAAATCGTTTATCATTAGAAAGCAGAATCTTCGAATGAGATATGAGCATATAACGAACATTTCTTTTGCTAGTGCAATACTTATGTATCATACTCTTCAATAGCAAACCTAATAATTAACTGAAAGTTACCGTTTAATGATAATTGAATGCTAAGAAAAGAATGAAATTCAATATGGTACTTCATTTAATACTAACGCAAGACGTAGGATATTTTGGAGCTGGATTCGAGTATTCCGTAACTGGATTCGCCTGTAGGTTATACCAAACTTTAAAAAAGACTATACCAAGATAGATCTCGACGATTTCTATCGATTCCACTATTTCCTTTTTTTCCACGACCCCTCCTTCATGGAAAAAAACCCAAAATACTGACAAAAAATAAGCAAAAAGAACAAGCATTTTCCGTATAGCCCACCTGGATTCGCCTATCGGTTATACCAAAAACTAAAATGCGTATATCAAGATAGAACTCGTCGAGCTCTATCCAATAGACACCTTTTTGTCTCGATTCGACCTTTCGATCCTCTCCGAAAGCGCAAATCCTGATCTCAATCCGAATTTTCCCTGTATTTCGCATCTGGATTCGTCTACAGGTTATACCAACAACTAATAATGGTATACCGAGATAGAATTCCTCGAGCTCTATCGAATGGATACCTTTCCAACTCGATTTGGTGCTTGGATACCATCCGAAAGGGCAAATCCTGGCCTGAATCCAGATTTTAGCAGTGTTTTGCACCTGCATTCACCTATAGGTTATACCAAAAATTGATAATCATATATCAAGTTATAACTCGACGATCTCTATCGAATGGACACCTTTACGACTCGATTTGATGCTTGGGTCCCCTCCGAGAGGGCAAATTCGTGTCTCAATTCTACAATCATTCAAATAATACTACTTTTTCATTGTCCTTCTAACGAACATTCAAAACAAAACACCAATAAATTTTATTTTTTCTCGAATAAAAGTGTTAAATAGTTTTTAATTCAGCTTTGCATATGTTTCACATGTTTCTTTAGGTTTTTCTTATTGTGTGCATTACTTTGAATTTCAAGTATTCGTGCTGACAGGAAGATGACGACATCATTCTATGTATATATCAAAATAAAAACGAAATATAATTAGAAAGATGTCATCGTCGTAGTATCATTCCGAGTAATTTAAATTTAAAGAAATGCACACAATAAGAAAAAACGTAAGTTAACATATGAAGCATAACCAAAAATGAATTAAAAATTGATTTACACTTTTATTTGAAGAAAAATAAAATTTCTTGACGTTTTGTTTTGCATCCTTTTTAGAAAGACAAAATGAAAAAGTAACATGAGTTGAATGATTGTGGAATTGAGACCTGTATTTGCAGTTTCGGAGGGGATGCAAAGGTCGAATCGAGCCGTAAAGGTGTCCATTCGATAGAGCTCGACGAGTTCTATCTTGATATACGAATTTTAGTTTTTGGTATAATCTGTAGACGAATGCAGGTGCGCTATACGGAAAATGCTTGTTCTTTTGCTTATTTTTTGTCAGTATTTTGGTTTTTTTTTTCCATGAAGGACGGGTCTTGGAAAAAAAGAAATAGTGGAATCGATAGAAATCGTCGAGATCTATCTTGGTATAGCCTTTTTTAAAAGTTTGGTATAACCTACAGGCGAATCCAGTTACGAAATACTCGAATCCAGCTCCAGGATATCCTACGTGATTTTTCTCATTTATCCATGCTGAGATATATGCATAATAAAAAAGTATGCAAACATTTGGGACACCCGGTATCTTTGATTTCTGATTTTGTATTATTTGTTGTAGGTTATTTTCGTCAAAAATCAGCAATCAGAGATTTGCCACAACTTATTTTTGATAATCAAGACTCGAAGTTTCGCATCACATTTTCCAGTGAGTGAACCTTTAATGTTATTGTGATCGCTTTTCATTATAATCTACGGTTAGGAAGAACTTCGTTCTGTATTTGTCTATACATGATTTCATTTTTAGTGTATTACAATATTCAGTACAATGCAAGATTAACTACAAAACAATATTGATTATTAAAACAAACTTTTGAATAAATATTGTACTTTTTTAGTTTATGTTATCGGTGCAACAGCTCTTCCTCGACCTCGTAATCTTAAGATGTTCTTTCTTTGGTTTCGCAATTGTGGTAACGATACAGCAGAAGCAATTGGACAAAGAAGAATTGTACAATAATTCAAAAACAGTGCATATTCTGTAAATACACATGTTACATAACTTGATACACCAAAAAGAGACAAAAGATGCATTAGTATTAATGGTAAACCAAATATAAGATAAACGATGGAGACAAATAACAATTGCAGTGTCATTTTCCAGTGTTTTCGCCATCTTAACGATTGACCTATGCGATGTTTTTGCCAACAGATACGCATTAATAGACTAATACTGAATCCAGAAATAATTAAAGTCGGTAAAACTTGATGAACAATCGTATCGTATGTGTGAAGTGTAAAAGATTTATACAAACAAGCATCCACACAAATCATGTCATAATCATTAAAAGAGTTTTCACAAGGTGGAAAAAGTATAGTCACACTATAATAGATGAGACAGTAGAGAGCTAATATAATAAAAGGTATATAATGTACGAATAGACGTTTCTTTTTTGTTGATACCCACTTATCGTGAAAAATAAGAATATGTCTTTCCATTGTAGCCCATGCAAAGAGTGTTGTTTGTGTATAATAGAGTCCCCAATCAATAAATATCCAGACAGTACAAAATAAATGTGTTCTTTTCCATAAACCTTGTTTGTAATAATAATTAAGCATCCATGGATAAATAGTTACTTCATAAGTTAAACCAATAGAAAGAAAAATAATAATCGCATGATTATGAAGAGCATGACGTAAAGTTCGATTCCATAAAAGATAATAGAGAGAAAATATCGAACAAATAATTGATGGAATGAGAAAAATAAGATAGAACCAGAATTTAACTGTATTAAAAATTGATTCATTGTGACGAAAAGCTGAATTGTTGCTGTAGTTGAAAGTATCATTGTCATTGGACATTATACTGAAGAGAAAAATATTTGAATGAATATGAATTTATAGAAAAGAATCGAAGATTGTGATATAAGTGTGACTTTTTTCAATTATGATTATTAATTCAAAAGATGTTCAAACGGTAGCCGATTAAGGGCCCTCCCCTCAAAATCAATATGCCACGTAGGATGATCCGTTTAGGCTGAAATTTTCC